AAAAAAAAAAAAAAACTCACTTCCTTACCTTCAATTAATTCAAATAGTACCAAATTTTGGCCTTTATGTGTTTGAGTATATTATATTAGCTGTCCTCTACCAAAAATAATTGGTTCTAAGTAAAGATGTGCATATCTAAATTCACGGAATTTTCACACACATAGTAGCTATAGGAATAAAAGCCTATTCCAAATTAAAAGAAAGAAAAGCATGAGAAACAAATAAAAGAAGCAATATGAGATTTCATAGATAACAAGTAACATGGATCTTGGGAGACATAAAGGCCATGGGTCACTAAGATTCCTAACTTGGGATTCTTGATTTATTCAGGCTAGGAGTGGGGGATACCAACTTAAAATAAATGAAATAGGGAGGTGTGGTGTTTGGCATTCATTGCAAATTCTATCCAATGAGCTCCTGAAAGCTCAAAACACATGGGCCTTTATGAAAAACTGAGATCGAGCAGTAATCAGATCCTCTCATTATTTGCATGTCAAGCCTCTAAACTTTCACAAAACAAATGAAGAAAACTTAGAAATAACCAGGAAAAGAGAAAAACTACAATGAATCTGACTGAAGTTCAGAGTATTACAGAGCAGTCACCAGTTCCCAGGGTGGATATCTGAAAGTTACGCAGGAAGAATGGCCACAGACAACAGAGAAGCCACTGGAATTGCTTCTTTTAAAAACACCTTCATCTTGGTTGTCTTTGGCACAGAGTGCATGACTGGTGTCCTTGGAAGTGGCTTCATCATGGCTGTTTATGGGGCTAAGTGGATCAGGGAAAAAAGACTCCCCACTGGTGACAGCCTTATGTTGATGCTGAGTTCTTCCAGGCTTGCACTACAGATTTGGCTGATGGTGACTATTATTTATAGTTACTTATTCCCAGTCATTTATTACCAAAATTTACTATATAAACTCTTCACAATCATGCTTTTGTTTCTGAACTATTCCAACCTCTGGTTTGCTGCCTGGCTCAATGTCTTCTACTGTCTTAAAATTGCCAACTTTGCTCAGCCTTTGTTCTTGATGATGAAGAAGAAGATTTCAGTGTGGATACCTTGGCTTATGAGTTTGTCATTGTTGGTTTCCTTCAGCATGAGTTTTCTCTTCTTTAAAGACACCTTCAATATTTATGCGAATGGTTCCTTCCCTGTCCCTAACTCCAACTCCACTGAGAAGAAGTACATCGTTGAGATCAATGTGGTCAACCTGAGTTTTTTCTATTACATGGGGATCCTTATTCCCCTGACCCTGTTCATCATGGCAGCCACTCTGCTGATTGTCTCTCTCAAGAGACACACCATGCACATGGAAAGCAATGCCACAGGCTCCAGGGATCCCAGCATGGAGGCTCACTTGGAGGTCATCAAATCCACTAGCTATTTTCTCATTCTCTACATCACCAATGCAATTACTCTATTTATATTCATGTCCAACACCTCTGAAATACACACTCTCTCGAGTATTTTGTGCAGATTTATCATGGGTGCCTACCCAGCTAGCCACTCAGTGCAACTGATCTTGTGTAACCCTGGGCTGAGAAGAGCCTGGAAGCGGTTTCAGCATAGAGTTCAGCATTACCTTAGAGGACAAACTCATTGAATGGAAGCCAGGGGATATCACAAGAACTGGCCCAAACACTCTGCCTTTTCCTCACCTGGATCTCTCTTCACCCATTTTGTTCTCCCTCAAACATTTCTTCTCAGGTAATTTGATTAGTTCATAAATGCAAAGTTGAGCTTTTCAGTTGTGATCTTAAGCAAAAGTAGCTAATAAACTTGATAATGGACTTTAAAAAACTCCTTAATCCAAACTCATTCATATCCTTTCCTGAGCTCTTGCCAGTCTGTCTTCACCCTGAGCCTTAAGGAGAGTGTGACTAGATGTCTCAATTTCCCTGGGACAAGCTTTGCTTGATGTCTGTTGCCCACTGGGCACCATTTAATTTTCAAAGGTTATCTTGGTCTGGATGAAAAAAAAAGATATGGTCATGTAAAGGTATCTCAATGATAAATATAACTGTATTGTTTGCTTTAAATGTACCAATAAACTTAATGGGGGAAAAAAGATATGGTCATCTATCCTAGATACTACTAACCAATATTAGGGGAAGGAAAGCTCATGAAGAGATGGCATGCAGTCCAGGAAGGAGAAAGGAAACTAGAATGTATGCACACAAAGAGAATTCTGGAAGGAAAGGCTGCCAGTATCATCAAGTGCTACAGATGTTCCAAGGAAAGTGAAGACTGAAGAAAAGCTTTGTATTTGACTAAGTGGACAGAGACCATGTATACTGACAGGGAACTGATAGAGTGGCAGCCAGGCTCCAAGAATTTCCAGACATGGTGATGAGAAAGTGATAGTCTACAAAGACAAGTAATGCGGGAGGTCATACTGAGACAAAGATGAAATAGAGGAGTGCAGGCAGATGGTCAATCTAATGGTTTTTATTGTTGTAGCTGCTGCTGCTGCTGCCACTGCTGTTTGGTTTAGTTTGATTTGCTCTGGTCTGGTTTGTTTCTTTGTTGTTCAGGGCTGGGGACTGAACATGGGCTTCTGCACAGGGCTACACTGTCACTCCTTTTTTCAGTTTTTAATTATGAGACAGGATTCCACAAGGTCTCTAAGTTATCCAGGCTAGGCTTTACCTGGTCATTCTCCTGTCTTAGTTTCCCAGAGTGCTGGAATTACATGAACGGTCATGCCCATCTTAAATGTGTTATTTTCCAAGTGGGAGAGGACAATGTGAAAAGAGAGGAAAAGAAAGAATGAAGGAAAAGGAGTGAATTGAACAGAAAGCAAAAAGAGGCCAGAACAAGGGAGCATCTCTTTTGCTTAGCACTTGTGTCTGTGGCAAAGAATTCAGCACCTGTGTCTTCAGCTTTACCAGTTCTGGGTCATTTGGAGTAAAGAGTTGGGCTAGCACGAGGTCATTTGGAAGTGGCAGTTTGAAAAAGAAAACATTCCTTGTCAGTAAGGCTTTGCTAGCATTGTCACAAAGGGTCATTCATAAAATAAGACACCCCAACCCTGAAGCACTGCAGAATTAGAAAATTAGAAATGTCAGTTTTTCCTTTAGAATGTATTTTTTAAATTGTAATGATTCAGGAAAGTGTGAAAAGAATGCTGCTGCTCACCATAAGCTCGAATAGCCCTCAAATGAAAGTGTGACATTGGTAACAAAGACTGAATCCTATGTTCCTGCTCCCAAGCACATACAGAGGTACCCTCAGTTCATTAATTCATTCATGATTCTGGGGAAGATGGCCATGGTCATGTTCATCACCTGAGGTGGAGTTCACAGATGAAAGCAAAAGTTTACCAAATGTTTCTGTTCATGAACTGAATTGCTTGCAAACAAGTGTTGGTGAACCGAGGTATTACTGTATTTCAGAGAGAATTCTTTATACCCATGAACTGCAAAAACACACACGTGTGTTCATGCACAAACTCATATACACACTCACATATAATCTTTTAGAGTTCAGACTCTAGCCTAGGACTTATTTAACTAGAAAGTAAAATATATATTAAAATACAGTTTTGGTAGTTTGTTTGAGTGATACCTTATTTGACTGTTTAGTATCAGCAGAGTTGTTGCTGTAAAGCAAACTAGATTTTGAAGTGTTACTATAATTCCTGAAGAATAAAGAAGTGTACATTTTTTTTCCAAATGATAAATGCCAGTAAGAGAGCAACCACACTTACTAGTTATTCTAAAGCATCACAGAGAAAAATTAAAAAAGTATTTGAAGTTACCATTACTTGCATATAAACCATGCCAAGATAACAAAATGGATAATCACTCCCCATGTTTATTATGAAGAAATAATCATCTTATTGTTTGCAGGAGCTTAAGGTATCAAGCAGAGAACTGATGAGAGCTTCAAGGACAATGACATCCTCATTGATGCTCTGTGTCACCCCGCATTCAACCAAATAAAGTTCTCTCCAAGTCTCTCTCTTCTCTCAGTTCTCTTTTTTTAGTAAAGCCCAACTAAGCGTCCAGAAAGGGTCAATGTACAGAGTCTTCAAATTAGTTTTAGACAGAAATCCAAAGCCTAAGATGAAAATTGGATTCTGCTGGATTAAAGTCTATAAGAAAAAGCAAAGCCTGGCTTGCTATTCTCCCAATATCCTAGCTAGAGCTGCCCTATGAAATCCCATCTCCTCTTGCTCAGAGGAGGTTAAAAGTTGCAGTGCAAAGCCTTCCTTTACCCACACAATCATGCTGGGTTTTTTTAAACCAAGAGCTAACAAGTTGTTTGCTCAGTGATTCCAGTCTGGAAGAGGGGGAGTGTATGCCTTCTCTCACACTTGGTCAACAATTCACCTAACATAAGTTTCGCATTGGGAGAAGGAAGTAGAAACCAAGGCAGGGATCAGCATCATCATAGAAAGACAGCAAACAAAGAGACACAGAGAGGGGCCTTTGGAATATGATTCAGTTTCATCATCCTCTCCAAGAAGAAGAATCTTTAGGGGAGAATTGGAAGAAATGGAAATTTCTTGTATGTTCAGATTAGTTTCTGAGAGCAAGAAGAAGGTAAAAAGGCTGAGGAGCTCAGTCCTCAATATTGGAAAGCAGCAAGAGCTCTCTGCTCTTTTCCAAGCCAAGGCAAAGATGCTTAACTCAAAAGACAGATGTCAAGAAATCCTCATCTCAGGTGTCCCTGGGAAGAGGCGACACCTCATACTGACAGATGTTTCCATGGATGAAAGAAGTTAGAAGCACCCTGAAGGCTGCAATGTGACCCAGGAAATATAAGTCTGGGCAGGAAATAGCAGCAGATGACAGAAAACATATGGAGTAAGGGGCCAGAACAGAAGAAACCCTGATTGGGAAGGTGTTCAGTGCTGAAGTCAGTCTCCATCACTCTCAGCTAAGGAGCCCTCCCCAGAGAGACATGGCCTAGGCCTTGAGGATTATTCTGTGTAATGCAGTGAAAGAGGCCATCTTCCAAGAGTGAGTGACCAAGGGTACCACCTCTAGGTTGGACATTTCCACTTTGGAGTCAGATATGGTGTCTGGGTGCTCAACTGTTAACCAATCTCTTTGGGGGAAAGATTTTTTTTAATGCTTTGTCTCTCATTTGATTTTCATTTTTTTAAATAAAGTGTTTTATGTATACCTCATCTCTCAGTTTTATCAGAAAAAGAAAAGAGGCAAATGACTTTAAAGACAATCCAAAGAAAAGAATCAAGAAACCCTGGATTTAAGGGTGGCTGGGCAATGTTTAGGGGTCCAGGGAAGACTGCCAAGGTGGAAGGGGAATGGGAAAACCTCCCAGGATCTTCACGGAGTTTCCCCCAGCCCCACCTCCATGCTGTCCCTGGAGTCAAGAAATTGAGTGTGAGTCCTGGATCTGCTGTTTCCTGGGATGACACATGGGCAGGTTACTGCATCTCTCTACATCTGTAAAATGGGAATCATTATCAGAATCATAATATTTACCTTCTAGGACAATTTCATTCTATGAAGTAAGTGAACTACTGTTGGGTGCACACTGTCTAGCCTAGAGTAAGCTGTCAATAAGTGTTTGTCATCCTATTCTAAAGAAAAGTAAAGTGAGGCTGGGAGGCTGAGGGGCTGGGTATCTAAGCTGAGGATGTTCAAACCATGGCCAAATATGGAAGTCCAGAGCCCAGACCAGGCCTGCTGCACATAGCAGGCTGGGATTTTGGTAGACATCATGGCAGAACATGGACAAAGCATCAGCAGCACCTCATCTACTTGAGCAGAGGTGAAAAGAGAAAGACACCCTGCAGCCTTCAGCCCCTGCACCTTCACTGGGCAATATCAGAAAGGCAAGCAGCAAGCATTCCCACTTCAACTGCTGCTTTCACCAAAACAGGTCCCTAGGATAGGGGTCAGCAAACTTTTTCAATCAAAGGCCAGCTACTCAAAATTCTCCCTTTTGCAGACATAAATTCCCTGTCACAAGCACTCACCTCTTCTTCTGTAGCACAAACGCCATGAGAGACAATGTATACATGAAAGATGATGGCTCTGTTCCAAGAAATTTTGATTATGCACACTAAAATTTGAATTTGAAATCATTTCCATATGTCATGAAATATTACTCTTCCCTTGATTTTTTTCAATCAAGAATGCAAAAGAAGCAGTCTAAATTCCTAGGTTATGGGGAGCGTGCAGGGAGACACAGAGATGGCAGTGGTGCACGCAAGCTGCAGGTTGCATATTGTATCCCTAGTTATATTTCACTATGAATCATGGATAGACATCATGACAATTTTTGCTACATCTGTAACATTTCAACTTTCTTAATATTTTGACACTTTCAGTTTCTCCCACTTTTCTGTACTGTTTGCAATCTTGAAAATGCAATATTTTAGTTTGCTCTAAAGGCAAATAAAAACTTAACACCTATTAAGATCACCTTAGACACTCTGTCAGTAAGCATGAGTACAAAGTGGTAAACAGCTCCCTGCAGAGGCCTTGGACACATTTGAAGATCATAGCTGCCCATCAGGCCTATAACCATCTCTGCCGAGGCTGAGAGGATCCCTTTGTGGATCCCATTCAGCATGGTTATGTTTACGGTTTTGTGTTCTTTTCAGATGACTAACAGTCTAGCTTG